AAAAACTTCACAGAAAAAAACTTATGAAGAATTAAAAATGGTGTAAAATGGCAGGTTTTTGAGGTGGCATTAAAGACCTGAGGCATCACATTGAATAATGGAGATAGAATGAAATAAAATACTCTTTTGTTCACTGAACTTTATCCATCTTATTTACCAAACAGGTTGGAGCCCAAGGGAAATCCTAATATATGAATTGATGATTGCAGAAGGAGTGCTGTGAAATCTGCTCTTGTAATTGAGTAGAAAGTTGTCTGAATTTCTGCTGTTCATTTTTCCCTTCAGCTGAAACTCAGTAATCCTTCACAATGCTTCTAGTCCAAGACACACCATGAAGTTGCTTATAATCCCACTGGTGACAATTAGAACTAATGACTTCTTCCTCTGTGAGCTGTCTCCATGTTTCAGGGGATGTGATGGTCACTCAGACCCAGGTGCAGAAACAAATCTGCCTGTGCCCTACACAGCAGTGTTGTCAGCCTTGTGTGCTCTGAGCTCTGGTCCTCTCAGGAGTAAGAAAAGCTTGGTAGAGTTGTCAATACCAGGCAAAACAGTGTCTGATTTTATGAATACCCTTCCTTCAGCTCACCACTAAAAATTATTGCAATGAATTTAATTTATATATTTGCAAATGCTGTAACATGAAACATACTGCTGCTGACAATCTGAATAGCTCATGCTGTCAACTGTTTGGAAGAGCTCTCAGCCTAGAGTTTGACATGTGCTTCCTCAGCAGGGAACAAGGAGAGTTGTTTTGCCCAAGCATAACCTGTTTATGCAGCAAATAATCTGTAGAGGTATTTCCTTCATTGACATTCTTGCTGCCTTGAACAGGCTTACTTTAATGAGCTCCCCCTTTGTAGCTGTATTTTGCAGTTTCTTTTCTAGACCCTGACAACTATTTTATCCACTTTGTAACCTTAAGGTTGTGGGGAAATATTTAAAATTAAACTTGCATGCAAGTTATTTAGTATAAGGCTTTTCCTTTCTGCCCAGCCCTTCACACTCCATTGAAGGCAGTTCCTGCTGCCTTGCACTGGGCTTCTGGGAGAAAAGACAAATGTTTCAGTCTGGAAGGATAGGGAAGAAGTCAGAATTTTTACACTGAGATCAGTGGCAAGGAGGCTTTGTAGTGCCCAAAGAAGACCTGAAGGTAAGAGAGTGTTCCTTGGCTGCCTGGGTCTCTTTGGGCCTTATTACACAGCTCAGGCTCTGGGCTTTTCCCTTCGGCAGTGGTGCATTGCTGTGAAGAAATGCACCTGCAGCTGTACAGGGGCACTGGAGTCCTGAACTACAGCTAGATAAATGCACAGGAGTTACTTACACAGTGTGAGATACAAAGGCTTAATGAGCATGGATATCTAGCAGAAACTTAAAAGAAGCTAAGCCAATTGTCTCTACACCAAAGAGTAAACGGCTTAAACGTGTTCAGGTTCTAAGTTCAGATGCATATTTTTACGAATAATACATGAATACTGTGGATTCATGCAAGGGTCACGTAGGATTTACTTTGCAAAAAAAAAGGGGGCGAAAAAGAGATATTAAAACCCTTTGTGTATTACAAAGTGCCTATTTTTCTTCTTGACTGTTTAGTATTTGGAGCTCAGTATTTATAGAGTTGTACTTCAGAATCACTATTTTTAATGTTAATAAATAAATTAATAAATAAATAAAGTGGAGGAAGCAAGAATGGAAGATTTGTTTGCAGAAGGTGGATACTGTTTTAAACATTTGTTAAATTGAAAATGAGCTGAGTACAAAAAGAAATCCTGTTTTTCCCTTTTTACTTTAAATTATCTGTTCTGTAGCCTATCAGTGAATAATAATATAATTCATAGTTTATCAAAATAATCTGGTCTGGAAAGTAAGACAATTTACAAGTATGTGACATGTCTCTGTGACTCAGTAATCTGCCATAGTTTGGGAATCATGCATTTGTTGCAAAATACTCAAGAGCTTACGTAAGAGGCTAATACTGATCTCTGACATGTGGAGCCTGGCTCCGTGTGTTTATGTAACACTTCTTAATGAATTAGGTTTTCCTGACAAGTGCTGCTTTGATTGCAGCCTCTGTAAGATCTCTTTGCAAAATCAGTAAAAGCTGCAAACTATGAACGAAATGTTTATACTGGAAGGTTGGAGAGCCACATGTTGACTGGCGAATTTTTAAAGTCTTCTTCCATCAAAGGGAACGTGGCAGGGTCTTGGCAGCTCTCATGCCTTTGTAAGCTGCAGTATATTGCTAACAAAGCCCAATCAAGGCTTTTCTGTCAAGACTGCTAATTGCTTGGATCCTGCTTCTGTCAGTGCTTGTAATGCCTGCTCAGAGGCAAGTGGATTCGTTGACCTGAAGCACGTATAAATTCTTTTCAAATTTCATTGATATTCTGTCTGAACAACCAAGAAAGAGGAGGAAATGCATTGCATTTTCTCACTAGGTCACTGGAGATGATGACCATTTGAAGCAGCACAATGCTGCCAAATGATTGCCAGGGCAGACTATTTCATTGAGAGCAGGTGCTCCAGTGTAATACTCAACACAAGCAGTGGCTAACACACTGAGGGACACTGAGTAGCATGGGAGTGAGTGGCATTATTTTCTGGCATTGTGGAACCAAGTCAGTTATGTCTGGGTGATCCTGGGCTTTGTTTATCATATAATGATGAAAACCCACGTTTCTGAGTCTTGCTGCCACAGGTTTTGACATAGTAGTCTGTAATTTTGTCCCTTTGTGAAGGGAGGTGACAGACAAAAGGCTGGCTTTTCTGAGGCCATGTCCTGGTGTGTGAGGATGTGTGTGGGATCTCTGGAATTGCCAAGGGGAGGGAGAACAGTGTCACTGCTGGCCCCACCATGCCAAGGCGAGGGGCAGCTCTGCAATTGCAGAAGGACAGAAAGCTGGGGTCTCTGCAGTGTGGAAAACTCACTGCTCAGGTCAGGAATAGTTTATATTTCCACATTGCAGACAACAGAGGGTACCTTTGTGCCATCAAGTAATGGGTTACTTGGATTTTTATAAGTATCTGGGCCAAAATTGGCAGGTAGCATGTACTTGATCAGAAAATGTAGGTGTGGGTAAGATTTATTTCTCTCTGACTGAATCCACATTTCTCTCAAGGTTTGTTAATACAGCCAAGTCATGCTTGTGGCTGTAAATGGGTTTGATGCTCATTGAATATCCTGTGTACATCAGTTGCTGGTCCTTTTCTTCTGTGTTACAGAGATCTATAAACTAGGTCATACCAACCCCTACTAGCTCTTTCACTAGCTGACAGTCTTGCAGGAGAAAACAAAGTTAGGATGAAGACAGAAAACGGATTTCTGTTTTATCCCTGCAGGAAGGTTGCCCCTGCCAGGTCTGGGTTTAGCTGCATGGCTGGTCAGTGGCAGCAGTTTGTGCTTTCTAATGCTGATTCTCCTGAGCTTGTTCTGGGAACAAAAGGGTTTGGTTTCTGCTGACGTCAATCTGGCTCCTTTTCAGAAGCAGTAAATTCAACCCCCCCAAAAAAAGTTTTATGGCATGCTTTACCTTAATCTTTACCTTTATGATCTGGTGATTTTTTTTTCCCTTATCTTTTTTAAAAATAATTTAATTATTCATTTTTTTCTTTGATTGAATTTGGCTTGATCACCTCTATGTCGAATCAAAAAGTGTGCCAGACCTGAGGACAGCTTGACGTCTCCAAGTTCTTCCTTTCAACTTCCAACTCTAGATTTTAATGAGCATCTGATTCTACTCAAGCAGCAGCAGGTTATTATGTCTGCTGTGATAGGGATTTAATTGTGTGCCTCTGCTACTATGCTGAGATTCCTGGAATCTCTGTAACCACTTTGATGTGGTGTATGTTTAAAAATTGTGTGAGTTATATTTTTCCCTCAGAGGTAAGGAAAATGTTTTGTAATTCAGGTTGGAATTATAGGAGGGGAGAGGAGCGTGGGAGGCAGTGAGCATTTGTGGCCTCTCTGATCCAATGGTGGTAAGAATTTCAGCTGCAGTCTTACAGAGACCTGCTCGTGGTAACGTGTCAAGGGATTTGTCATCATTGGCATCTTTGAGGTTGAATTTTATTAGGTGTTTGTAACCTCTCCCGCTTGATTTATTTTAACTGGTGTCATCTTTTTTGACAACCAATATTATTGCAGTATTTTTGTTGCTGGAAGTGCCATGATTTGCATAGCTGAAAACCACATATCTTTGCTTAAGAGGAATTGCTCTTAAGGCTCTTTTATAGACAAGAAATCAACAAACATCAAAAAATTCTCTGAAAAAGATCTCAGGAGTTGATTTTGGCATTGTGGAGAAAGAGTTACTGTTACTGCTGAAATTGCCTTTGCTGTTCTATTACAATAAAGTCTTACTTTGATTTCCATTTATATTAATTTCCTTTTACATATCTGTGTGATGTGTGTTTTGTTGAGGTTTTGTTGAGGTTTTTCCCCATAAAATTATTAAAAGCTTAAAATCAAATCAATGATTGTATTATGAAGAAATAATTTATGTGATAAAAATGGTCATAGGTGCAGTACAGATAAAGCAACAGAATATTAGGGAGTTTTCTGATAGCCCAGTTAAAATAATTTTCCATTGTTCTTTGGTAATAATAGAAGGAAGCTGCTATGTAGCACAAATTAAAATACTTCTCAATATAGAAAAAACCCTCAAATTTCTATTTTTGTTCTAGTAAAACATTGACACTTTGCTTAAGAAGAGAGGATTACAATTTTCAAAATCAAAATGTTATTATGAAACTGTTTAAATTTCTCACAAAAAAATCTGGAAAATGCAGGGGCATCCATTTGAAACAGGAATGCCATTGAATACAGAATGGTGGCAAAAGATGTTATTATTTTTATAGGGAGATTTAATTCCTTCAATGAAGTAATGAAATAGCTTTTCTAGTTGAAGTATCTTTGTCACTTTCTATGTAGACAGCATATTATGTTAACTACTTCTTTGATATATTTTTGCAGCTAAATGGTTTTAATCCCTTTGACTCTCACAGTACTAATTTTGTTTTATACAGTAATTTAGACACAGCACTCTTTCAGAAATATCTGGTTTCCCTCATTTAATATTTATATCTGAGAATCATAATTTGTTTTTTCTTTTCCTGAGGATGATGTACAATTTCATTTGACATTTATCTTGATTCAAGGACAGTGTTAATTCATTTCTGCTTGGCCTTGTAACGTCTGTTATTCAGTGGAAGGGATTGTCTGCACCTCTGTATGAAACTCACTTGTTGACTTGCAATATAATGCTCTTTTAAATTGAAGGATTTTCAATTTTCCTTTATTTGACACTATGTTGTTGATGATTTTACTTCAGATTCTGGATTATGCACTGCTGGTTTATTAGCAAGTTTAGATATTGTCTTTGTTTACAAAACATTTGTGAGGTATGTTTTCTCCTTTCACTTTCTGATGATCTAAAATTCAAGTTTTCTATTTTGGCTAAGTTTAGCTTTTAGTATGTAGAAGTGTGGACTTACTTTTTGTCAAGGAAAAGTATTTTTATATGTTTATTTCTGTCTATGCTTATGGTGATTCTTAAACCTTTCAAGTCCTTTGCTGGAAGGCCATGGCATTGATGAGTTCTCTTTCAAATTTAGGTACACAATTGAAGTTAGTTTTCCATGATCACTAGCACAGTCTATTTGTTTGTTCTTTCTCCATTATTCTGCAGTTCCTTATTAGATCTGTTGGTTCCAGAATATTTTGGGTTTACAAGCGTGCAAAGGGAAAAATTAATTGGGTTGTATGCAATGCAACAGCGTAATCTGAATTTTTCTTAATGGAAGGTTGCTGTGTGGCCAGGAGATGTCTCCAGCTTGGTAACAAATACGAATTGCATTACTTAAAGTTCAAGATAATGTTTAATTCTATCTGTTATCAGATCATAAATTCAGTCCTAATGTGGCCCCTCTGTGTGCATCATGCACAAAAGCCATGCAGAAAACAGAGGCTTCAGTGGGTTTGTGAGACTGCCTGAAATATTTTCATTGCTTGTGCTCAAGTGCAGTCTTTCCTTAAACTTCTTCACAAGTGCAACAATTACGTGTTAATCTCCAACTTTGTACAGTCCTCAACAATGGAGTGTGTACTTGTGTTAAATGCCTCTTTATTCCTAAAGTCAAAGCTGCAGATTCATTCTACAGTGCCTTTTAAAGGCAGAAATTAGTTTAGGACTACCTCATAACATCTTCCAGTTGCTAACACATATCAGTTCACATCTTGCACTAAAACGCAGAGAGAAAGTGCTCTGCTTTTAGCTCAAAATATTTCATGTTGCTTTTTTCTCTAAAGCTTTTTCTTGGATTTCTAGATTTCTTGGATTTGAATTACTATTGATTTAATGGTTTCTCCACTTACTTTTATTTTCAATTTATGCATCTCAATTTTAGAATATTTAAATTGGAGATATTTTAAAAACTCTGGAATTGTGCTTCTTACCTTTAATTTATATATTTAGACATGCTGTATTACAGACATAAGTAGGGATTTTATTTTAGTCACCTTTTAAATATGGTCAGAAAATACGGCAACTTCTTGTGATTTTCTTTCAATGTTTTCTTATGAACTGTGTAGATTTGCTGAATGATATGCTTGTTGCTGATGCTTATAATTGCATATTGATCTATTTATTTTTCAATGTGACTTTATATTAGAAGATGCTGAGGAATACTGTGATGATGCTCAGTAACCTCATGTTGACAACTCCAAGGAAATTGTAATTAATTGGTAGACACGACTAGTAAGTAACATAAGATATAATATTCTCAATTTGTGTTTAAATGTAGAAGATAAGAGAATTATAGGTGCTAGAATTACCTGAAATAGTTGCAGTTATAATTCTTTATGCTGAATCCTCTTCCAGTGTTAAACCTTTGTTGCCATATAAGGAATTGCAAATTATTAAGCCTGGGAACAAAGGATCAGTTTAGACAACTCATCGTAGAAACCATGTAAGTGAAGAATCCAACTCCTCTTTATTGTGGATCAACAATAAATAAGACATATTGGGACATAAATATAACAATTGTGGGAAGAGAGATGTTCTATTTTTTGTATCATCTGAAATGTTGTTGGCTACATGACACGTACAATGTGAATACTTGTATTTGTTTATTATTGGTGGAATACATTTAATTGCAGGTGTTTTTACAAAGTTTCAAAATGTTGCATACCTCAAGGGTGTGGATATCACAGTTTTAAGTATTCCTTCCAAAAATAAAAACAAGCAAGCAGACAAAAAAAAACCCACCAAAAAGCCCAAACCACAAAAAAACCCTGTTTGTCCCAGGCTGGTGTACTATACCAATAAAATATGATCTCCATTATAATAACCTACTTTATGAAGATTAAATGGTTTTGCAATTCAAACAAGGTAAAATTGGTTTAAAGCAAAATCAAACACTAGTTTGCTAGTTTAGGATTTGAATAGTGGAATGAGAAATCTTTTTTTATATTGCTATTGTGCACTGGTCAGCTAAGAAGTAATTGCTTTTTATAAGGCAAATTTGCTTTTACTTTTCCAAGGTAATGAAATGAACCTGAAACATTTCCTTTGAAATCAAAGTCACTATCACTCAAATGTCACCAGCAGAATTCCATCATATGGTTTCAGCAAATACATAATGAGAAAGTAGTGCTTGGAAATGATTGACAGGATTCTATTAAAAAGCTTTACTACACATTCATCCCTAATTATCTGTGTTGTAAATCAATAGTGATTTGACTTTTTTTGATTTACATGTTACTAACATGAACAGACAGAGACATCTGGTTCCTATTTGAATAGAATAGAATAGCTTGAAGATGTAAGTTGGAAACTGCAAATGCATTGAGGGAAAAGCTCTGATTTTTTTTTATAATACCTAATGAAATTCTGTGCAAACAAAGTATGCTCATTGACATAAGAAAGTCTTAAAATATAATATGCAAAATTGTTCAAAGAAGGAAATAATCTATGATTGAATCAAATCTTTAAACAGGTATGTGTAAAGGTCTAACAAAGAAATTATTCCCAAGAGTAAAGATATTCCATTGCATAAAATCAAAGCTTCTTAAGGAAAAAAATTATGTCAAATATAGTTTAGCTCCTCTCCAACCTAATCATCAGTTCAGAAGAGGAGACTTTATTTGTGGTCAGGGAAATGCTTTTTAGGGGCAGAAGGACAAGGGATGTAAATTCAGTCTCAGTGAGAGGGCAGCATACTTTCAGCAAGATAGATATCAGGAGGAATGCTGCAGTATTGCTGCAGAGTAGAACAATTTTCAAGCCCATGCCAATGATTCTGACATATTCCTTCTTTTAAACAGGACTAGAGTGAGGGCTTTAAAGTTAAAAAGTGAATCAAACAAACATGGTTCATGTGAATTCACAGCTGCTATGGCACAGTAACAGGAGACTCTATTTACAGGGTGTTCTAGAAGTTGCTCAGCAGCCATGGATAAAAACTACTAAATACAACAAATACCAGTAGGGCAACACTGAAGCCATTGGCACGACTGTCATGACTCAATATTTAACATATTGGGGAAGACTTAGGTGGCAGAAGGGGAGGAAAACGATCCCTCATGCCAAAGACAGTTTTAGCCATTCGAATTACCAACAGCTTGGGAAGCTTCCAGTGACAATGGAGAAATCTTGCAAGAGCTGAAGTGCAAAATGGAAACAGTGGGTGTCTGCTTGTTGATGATCAGACTCAAGAACAGAATGACTGTTCTGTAAGAGCTTATTTATATGTAACATGAAAAAATATATCTTATTGTGGAGATTATGGAAATTTGTACATGAAGTTTTCATGCTCGATCCTGCATTCAACTAAATTGAAAGTAATTTTAATATGTCTGAGTATCCTAGAAGACAATTCCTGACTCAATTGTAGCCTTAATACTACTAATAAAAAAATATTAATTGTACCTCATCCAGACTGAAAATGAAGACATTCACAGTTCAGTGGAAAGACTTTGGCATTACCCTACTTAAAGAAATATGGCTAAATTAATTAGAAGACAATATTAAATTAGGATAATAGAATAAAAATTGAGAGGTTTACAGAAGATTTGGTAAATTATGTATCAAAGCCTAATGTATTATAAAGACCCCCTTTTACTTTTGAAGACAACAAACCCAGCTATACTTCAGGGAAAAGTTAGTTACTCTGTAATGTTATAAAACAAGTTTTAGCCAAAGGAAACGTACAAAACTAGAGGAATTAAAAAGTAAGAGTTAATAATTACAGAAAGTAATATGATGGAAAAGAAAAAGACATTAAAAATATCTAAGACTTGAAGGTTTTGGTTAAATGGGTATGGTTTGGTAATGGTATTGTGTTTAATTAATGTACTTGAAATAACTAACATGATCTGTTACATAGAAGTGGAATAGATGTGTACAATTACCACAACCCAGGTGAGGATGATTTAAATTACACATCTGTATCACACTTGTGGTTGATGATTTAGTTAATAATAGATGGAATGTAAATACACTAAGAAAATTATACATAAAGCATTGTATGGCAAACAACTGAATGAGCACCACAAATGTTATGAAAACTGGAAAAACATTCAGAAAACCTAATTTTCAAAGATTTCTTTCTAAAGATTGCATAGAGAAGAACTTGCAAATTGACATTTTGTTGGGTCTCTTTCAGAAAAAAGAAAAAGTTTCCTTCAAAAGATCAAAAGAAAATTAACACTTGTTCCATTTGTTATGACTTAGGATCTTCATCTTTACTTCAGTCCATGCAAAATAAGATTGAAAAAAGACTTGAATAATAGAATTGCAATTTGGAAGTATAATTAAGAACTCCTGAGCAGACTTGATGGAAGATAAATCTCACCAAGCTGCCTTGGTATAATTTTTAATATCATTTAGATTGGCTGATACAGGTAATGGTGTTTTATATGACAGATTCCTGTAAGCACTTGTTTAAGATTTCAGGTGAGAAAGGGTAAGGGTGCTAAGTCACGTGGTGGACCTTGAATAAGGGGAATTCCTAAATTTGTAGTTTTAGCAGTATTTAGGGTATTAATAGTCTTTTTCAGACTAAGATTTGGAACACCTTTTTCATTGATCAGGGAGAAAATATAAAATTATTAAAAGTGATAGTGCAGTGAAGAGATATTTGGAGAAATGATGAATAATGATTACAAAATTATACTGATATATTAATATAACTGATCCATAGTCAGATGAATCACTACTAAGGTGATGTTTTGTTGAAGGATAGTATCTTTCTTGGGTGTTGAAAAAAAAGCCAAACCCAAACTACATTAGGGACATTATTTTCATTGCATCTGCCACCTTTATAATCAAAATATAATAATGTATTTAGTTCTGGAGTCACCAGCTCAAAAAGATGCAAGTAAATTGAGACAGGTTCATAAAGCCATGACAGTGATGTAAAACGTGCCAATATTTCCTGGTGAAAGATAAAACGTTCCATGCTGTGTCAGCAAGCCATGGTGCCTCTTAAAGTCCCGTATTGAAACAACTTGTCAAGAATATTCTACTAATAATATTTGAAGAAATTGAAAAAATACAGTAGTGTTGTTCCACTGCTCAGTTAATAAAGCACAATAAGCTTTTATCTGTGTCTCTGGCAAAGAAGAAATGTGAGGTCTGATTCTGCCATGCTGTGCTCCTTTTGTTAGAAAATAGTTCTTTGTGTTTCTGGCTTTTATTTTGCCCAAGCTGTCCGCTGCCCAGCCAGGATGTGTGACTGGGGAAAGTGTTATCCTGCCTTTCTGCAGACAGCCCCTGGCAGGGTGGAGCCAGGAGCAGCCACTGAAGCTGTTCTGGGATAACAAAGACCCGTGTCTACAGTGGCACTCAGAAATAAAACAAAGGTTTCCATGGCTGTTACCGCAGGCTGGATCAGGATCAGTGAGGTGGGAGCTCTGGTGTAGATGAACCTTCAGCACTTTGCTGCAGTACACACGGTCTGTCTGAAGATAAAGGAAATTTCTGGAACCTTTCTATAAATGTGCTGGTGCTTCCCCTGCACTGCTGAGTGAGGCCATATCCTGTGGGACAGGTTTCCTTCTGGAGCTTATCTGAGTCCTGTGAACTAGAAAATGAGATACTGATCTTACAGGAATTTGCAATGCTGTTTTCTTACTGGAATAGTCTAGTTCACAATTATATATGGCTCAAATTATTTATCGAGTATATTTCAATCCCTCTTACTTCTGTTTTGCAGGAAAAGGAAGACAAAAATCTGTATCCTTTGAATAAATTTACATTTTTTTCAATAGCTTAGTGAAATAATGCAGATTTAAACCATCTGTCCTCACTGGCTGTAAGGATGGAAGCTGTCAGAAATTTGTCTCCAACGCAGTTTAAAAAGTGCCTTGCGCAACATCAAACCTCCTAGGTTTGTCATTGGAGAATGTTTTTTTGTAGTACAGGTAAAGTAGGTTTTTTCTTCTTTGTAACCTGTAGTTGTAGTGTTAAAATTTGCCATAATAACATATGCAGTCTTCTAGGCAGGTAGCTCTTGTGAACTTTTTCACTTGAGAATCATAAAAGAGAAGCAAGCAAACCTTTCTTTGTGCTGTAAGCTAATTTTTAATGTCGGCTCTTGGGAGAATATGGCAACAGGAGTGGTAAAACCTGTCCCGTGTTAAAAAGATCTTGATTTCCACAATAGCAATTCCAACTGACTTTATGGTAACTTGCATGTCCTCAGCCCTTGATAAAATTCCATGTGTATTTATAGACAAGAAACCTGAAGGAAACTTACAGGAGTATGTGCATCTCTCTTCAGCAGTTTGTCAGCACATTTTCATTCTGGTCCAACTGCCTTGGGTTGACATCATAAAGTGCTGGAGTGCCGAGTAACATTTGCAGGATTCATGGTGATGTTTCTGAAACTATCAACTATTAAAAATTTTGCATATCTTAAAAATGGAACTTCAAGTTTTCATTTGAAAAAGTTGCATTTATAAAACCATTAATTAAGATTTCACTCAAGGAGACAGGCATTCATAGTGGGTTAATGCTATTTACATTGAGTAAATCAAAGAAAATATCTCCAAAGCATTACAGCTTCTGTTGTTAGCAGATGTCACACCTGATTTTTGAAATTAAAGGGGTACATGACAAATTGACACAAGGTATAAATTTGATTGAATCATAAGTACCTAATATTTTAAATTTTTTATTATTAAGGAAATGCTCCTGTTGGAAGGAAAAAATATATCAGGTCATACTTAAACTGAAGATAAAACTCCCATCATCTAGAGGTGTTTCTAATGCACGATGCCGAAAGCTCAAGTATTCCTTTGTTGATGGAAGTCTTTAATGTGGTTTTATGAAGAAAAGTATTGGCTTCTTTCAGTATTATGTATTTTCTGTAACTGTTCTTCATCTGGCAGGAAGTTTCATGCTCTCTAAAGGTGAAAAGGTTTTCCTTTTCATCTCTTTAAATCTGTGAATCAGCAAACCTTTAATAGATGAAAAAAACTCCCAGCCAATCAACCAACTAGACAAACCTACTTGTTGGAATTAGTTCTCTTGTGGCTGGGAACTGTCAGGGATATTTTTGGGAACCACATGGGGTTTTCCTGTAAGTTTTTCCTTGCTATTTAGTTGACAGGCAGAGCAGCTGTGCCACAGGGCAGTGGCACTTGGTGCTTGTTTGGGGCTGTGTGTCATCCCTGGGGTCAGACACAGGCTGCCCATGCACTCGCTTTGTGTCTCACTCTGGTGGAACCCATGAGGCACTGAAGAGAGGGAGAAAGCAGATGCAGAAAATGAAGCACATTGCTCACTTCCTAGGTTTGTTTACTAAAGCCAGCAGTTGAAATTGCTCAGAAAAGGCCTTTAAGTGGCATTTGTGAAACACCTTTCTTGAAGGAAGTGTGCAGGATGGATTCCTTATATTCCTACACTTCATCAAGTGTGAAAAAAACTTATGGTTTAATCAGTCAACTTGGATAGTTTAGAAGCTATTCATGCCATGCTCAGCATGAGGCTCCATCTGTATATAAATAGATTGGATTTAAATGATGCTTTATTTTGTTTTGATCTTACAGAAAACTGCAGTGCAGGTAATAATATAAAAATGTCTAAAGATACAGTGAAGGTGACTGGAACCATTTTTTTCTGCTAAAACTAGACCATTAATCATAAAATAGGTCAGGATTTTAGTACAATAAAACCCTTCCTCAGAAGAAGCAGAGGAATGTGTTTTGCAACTCAATATGTTCTCTCTGCATAAGGAGTAATGCAGCACAAGCCAGCACAGATTGGCACCTGCACCTTTCTTTTCATTCTGCAGCCTTTCAGTTACAAATGAAAGGAAAAAGCAGCAGTTTAATGCAGTTGTAAGCATTAGGAAGTTTGAACCTACTTTGTGTAGTTTGACTCCTCCATAACATTTTGTGAGTTGTATATAACATGTTGCTGTGTATGATGTTTATTCATCTTTACAGCTTTCTAGCTTGTGGGATGCTATGACATTGGCATGCTATTGGAGGAACCACCAAAATGTTATTTTACAGGTAGCACTTATATGGTCCTTTTACTTTTCATTTTACTGCTAATGAAAGATATTGTTGACTTTTAGAGCCATATATGTTTGTTGTGTATGTCATGGGGATTCCTATCAAATTAATTTTGATACGTATTTTAAACTGAATACTGTTTTTTTGTCCTTGTAAGCAGAAATGGCTAGTAGCACTTATCTATGGTATGCTGTCTCATCCTGAAGTAGGGATAGCCCTTGATTTCAGACTATGGTGGTAGTATGAGTCTCAGGTTTCCATGTCTAGTCTCAAAAAGAGCAGAACAAGAAACAGAGGTTTTCAGCAAGCATTGCAAAGAAAGAAAGAGTAGTTACTGTGATAGCAGTTATCTGCTGTAGGTAGAACACTGTGTGAAATAATTGTACAAGGTACCAGCAGAAATTAGGGAGCTGATTCTGCTCCTCTGTTCCACTCTCCTGGGACCCCAGTGGAGTTCTCAGCTCAGACAGGACATTGACCTGTTGGAGCAAGTCCAGAGGAAGGCACTGCCTTAGCTGGAAGACTTCTCCTATGGGGAAAGGCTGAGAGCTGGGCTTGTTCAGAGGAGAGAGAGCTCTGGAGTCACCTTATGGCATCCTTCTGGTGTCTGAAGGGAGCCTACAAGAAAGATGGAGAGAGACTTTTTACAAGGGAATGTAGTGATAGGATAGGGGGTCTGGCTTCAACTTGAAAGAGAGCAGGTTTAAATTAGATATTAAGAAGAAATTCTTTACTATGAGAGTAGTGAGGCCCTAGACCAGGTTGTCCAGAGAACTGGTGAATGCCCCATCCCTGGAAGTGTTGGAGGCAGGGTTGGATGGGGCTTTGAGCAACCTGGTTGAGTGAAAGATGTGCCCATAGCAGGGGGGTTGGAACTGGATGATCTTTAAAGTTTCCTTGAACCCAAACCATTCCATTATTCTTTGAAATTATCTGATTTATTAGTATGTTTTCCAAATACATAATACTCAAATATATATACATATACTTCTAGGAAGATTTAAAACATCAGTGCTATGCTGCCATAAGCAGAGGGGAATCTTCCCCTTTCTGCATTGCCTAATGCTGCAATCAGAAGGATCTCGTTTCCTGGAGCAATCCATCATGTTGATTTACAAGTGCTGCTGCCGTCTGTATCGTGCTAATAGGAAGCTCATGGCATCTGTCTTTGTGCTGAAAGCTAGCCAGCAGCAAAAAACACATGATTACTAGATGATGTACAATCAGTGGATTAGGGGAAGTTTGGGCAAGATTCTGGGCAATTTCTGGATCTTAGCCAATGAACTAGAATTACTTGATTCTCTTGCTATATAAAAAAAAGTACTTTATCTTCTGATTAAGACTGCAATTCCTTTACATTCAGATTGATCACGTTGTATTGAGTGTTCTTGATCATATCACAAATGAGCAGAAAAAATTTAATTCTTTCCCTCCACTATAGTGTGTGTCTGCTTTCTTCATGAGCTAAAACTGCCATACTTACCTGTATCCCTTCACTAATCACTGTGAAGAGGGATGAGTATGTGTGTACAATTTCTCCTTTGAATCATATGTTATTCTACTTCCTACTGCTTTAGTGAATGAGGAACTGGATTTCTGAACTGAGGAATTTGATTTTGACATCCCAAAAGCAAATAGTTTTCAAATTCTTTTCCTTTTTCTCCCCTTGTGGATGCCTTTCCCCTCCTTAATTCAAGATCTTGGTATCTTTTATGTGAATGCATGCAGCATTTTACTTCTGTTTGTCTTCTGGTATTTCTCCACCTTTTTCTCTACAAAAATTGACCATGTCCAAATTTACAGAAAGAAATCAGAAGTGTTTGCTACCTTTTTTGAGAATTGGAAGCTGCAAGAGATTTCTATTCCAGCAATGTCTGGATGAATGCAAGGCCTTTAAGAATTGTTCAGTATTCTAATGATCACTCAGCCAAGACTGATGTCCAATACTTTGGACCTGAATGTTTGGGTGATTGCCTGTGCCAGCACCTGATTTCCATAGTTTAAATTATGTGTTTTGTGTAGTCCTTGATTGTTTTGATGCAATTCAATCATTTTAAACATCACTTTCTCCCAGTAGGATTTCACAAGGGAGGATCTTAAGGAGATCTGTTGGGTTAGTAGAATTTACAGCCTTTTACTGTTCCTACTTGCAACCCAAGGTTTGCCTTTCCCAAATGGTTAGGTTCTGAAATATCCTCCCCACAGAGTGCTTGTGATCAGCAAGAAGTGATGCAAGTAGGACAACATCTGACAGAAACAGTGGCAAAAAGCCTGGGATAAATGTGACTGATTGTATGCCACGGCTGCGCTGTGTTCTGTTGAAAGTTAAGCAAGTGCATGTAGCTGGCAGCTTGTTTAATCTAGATTCCCTTTTCCTATGAATTAATTTGTATGGTCCCATGATGAGGGAAATGTCTTGTTTTGCAGAGACCAGTCTGCTCTAAATATCTGCTACTTCTATAGCAACAGGAAGGAAACTTCAGGAGATGAGTTCTTTCCAATTTCAACTACAAATTGGATTTACTCATTGAAGTTACAGGTGTTATGTTCTGTAACAAAGTCTGCTCCTTAGATTTCTGTCCAGCAGCCAGGGAATACTTAATTCTTTGCAATATAAACAAGTAATCCTAAAGACAGCAAAGTTTCTTGGGAAAGTAGATGTTTCTTGGGAAAAAAAGAATGTTGTCCTTCCTCTTATTCAAATTCCTTGAG